GCCGCAGGGTGTGAAAGGGGGCGAAATTCGGGAGATTGCGAGTCGGCTGTACCTTGGCCTGCGTGCTATTCTATTTTTTTTCATTTATTTTTTATTATTATTTATTTCCCCCCCCCAGCCCTGGGTGTTCTGGTTTGTATCCCCGCATCGAGCAGCAGGAACACGACAGCTTTACATTTCTGAGTCACTCGATGTTCAATCATAACACTTCGTCGAGCCTCCTCGTCTCCCTTAGGGTTAAAACAAACCCGTGTCGGACCCAGGCAGCCCCCCCCGCCCCCCGTTCCTGCAGGGGCTGCCCCCCACTTTCTGCGCCGTGTGCTGTGGGTGGAGTCCTGCCCTCGCCCCTCACAAGGAGGGCTCGCACGGCTTCTCCGTGATCCAGTGTTCCAAACACACGGGTTTGTCGCCTTCGTTTCAGAATGGTCCCTTCCACATGTCTGGATACGAGCCACTTTGCTTTGGGAAAACTAGGTTTTAAATATATCTGGACGTGTGATGGTTTGTTGAGAAGGTGTGTTTTCAGGCATACCTGCTGGATTTGACCCGAGGAAGAGGCTGGTGAATATTTGAAAAAAAGGTGCTTGGATTTTGTTAAACTGCCAGAATTATCCAAAACCAGTATACAACTTGAAGCATGTTTTCAAAGAAGTTGTATTGGCTTTCTCTTAATGATTCATAGAGGACTGAATGAAACGTCAGGCAAATTTTGCAAGCAAAATTGACCTTTAGTCACAGAAGCGAGACATGAAAGGTTAACTCACAGTCTTTTTCTTTCATTTTTTTGAAATTAAGGCCTTGTCATTTACACTTGTGCTATCTTTTGTCAGTGGATAGTACAGTTCTGTTGTAACTTTCTTTCAGCAGGCTTCATAGGTGTGAGAACTGTGCTTTTCCAAACAACAAAACCTTTCAATTCCACACATGTTTTTGATGCATGTCTGTACCTTTAGCTATAGGAAGTTCCTCCTGAACATGGGCATGGAGTACAGACTATGGGCGTGTTTTGCACAGGCAGGATTCTGGGGTTAAGTTCACGATGAGGTAGCATTTGTAGCTGGCTGGTGCTGTGCTGAGTTTCAAAGGAAAAGATCCAGCCATACCAGGCGTGTGAAATGGTGACAACAGTTGGTAGCAGTGATTGTCATTAATTTTCCCATGCGATTTGTTAGTTTTGTTTCCTCAGGAGGTGAGGTTGCATTTCCTCAAATGCAACTGTGGTACCTGTGTGCTATCATTTATTTTAAATAACTCTTCTGGCTGTTAGCCAATTTCAAATAAATTTGGCAGCAGGGGTCTCCCAGGTGAGCAATTTCTGCAAAATTTGTGAAAGTAAGCAAGTCAGGTAGAAAAGAGCTCTGAATCTGCACTCCAGAGAGTGCAGTCATCTCAAGCTGGAAATTGATGCAGGAAATGGGCCTCCCTGGTTTTGCTGCTTGCAGAGCTACTGGTCCAGTTTTCAATAACTTTTTGATATGTGGACCCCAGTGCTGCTCTCGGAAATCTAAAGAACTTCATTTGGATTAAGGCCCAAGGTAGGCTTAATCTGTATGTCATATAACAAAGAGAGATTTTCAGAGGAGTGTTTATTGCCTCACAACAGTTCTTTGGCTATGAAACAAGTTAATGAAATTGAAAGTATATATTTAAATTACTATGTTATTTGAAATCACTAGAAAAATAGACTTAATAAATCTTTGGTGTGCTGCATACCATATACCAGAATTATCAACAACCTGCAGTCCACAGTTAGCGTTTTTTATCAATATTCATAGAGTGAGGCAGAGACCTGCGCTTCTGCACTAGAGGAATATTGTTTATTTTGAGCTTTGCACGCTTCTTGCAGCTCCCAAAGATTGAAATGGGCACTCTGTTTGCTCTGTTAGATGATGGCTGTCATGTGACAGCAATGTGAAAGTCTGCAGTATGGCACATGTCAATTTATGCGGTCAAAGTTTACTTTATGAACAAAGTAACTGCATGGTTTTACTTTTCTGTATGTACTATCTCCGGATAAAAGCTGTATATTTTCAGGAGATAATTCCTTGTGTTCACACCGTTAGTTAAAAGTAATATGTTCTTTAATCTGTGTTCCACACTTGGATCTAACTGTTTCACCTCATACTTTGATCACAGTTTGAGTAAACTGCCTTGATGTTAATTTAAAAATTGGTGTCAGTATTAAAACAAAGACTATTTTAGGAATACATCCTTATTCTGTTGCATCGCATCAAGCAGCCTTTTTCAGATTGGACATCGGTGTATACATACACAGTCTGTGGCTTCTGTGAAGCCCTTGTGAAAGGTTTCAGGCTTCTAGTACTGGGAGTCCTCTACTACTTGATGGAACAGGTTGATAAGCGAAGGCGAAATGTAGTTTCTCAGACTACACTAACAGAACGGTTTATTTTTTACCCTGGAGGAACCACTTCCAAATACAAGCAGGTAGCTCATTCTCAGTCTTTATCTCATTTTTGTTCTCCTTGAGAATGCCAGCAGGATGCTGTTTTATAGTAATGGATTTTATGATGTGGCAGCCACTAATTTATTATTATTATTAATGCAAACAGCTTTACCGTTGCCATATGGTAACTTCTTTCAGTCGCTACAGTCCTGAGCTGCATTCAAACCAATGATTTAGAGCTGTAGGGTTCCAGATTGTATTATAATTTGCCAGGTTGTGAAGGCGAACCTGGACGAATTCCTCTATGTGTATGCTGAATTTGGTAGGGAAAAAAGTCATACTGAAAAAATGTTGTCAACTGACTGCGTGACAAGTTCAGTTGTAGGTTTTAACAGGCCATTTTTACTGCCTTTTCCACCTATGGAGGTTTATCTTTAATAGTGCCAATGGATCAAAGCAGAAGCTGGCACCAAAGCAAGTTAATGAAACAAGTGGGACTGCAGCCTTAGGTAAAGTTAAATGCGTGGCTGATTGCAGGATCAGAGATCAAGATGATAATAACATTAATGCTGGAAGTTAAATAAGTAAAGGTTATTACTTATGCATGAGTTTGGTTCCCATTAGATTTAAATGCCTATTCTTTAAAAATGTAAAGGATAACTGGAAATAGGCCAGAAAATACCCTTTCCTTTATCACTTAGAGTAGGCCCCTGTGTAGAGCACCGGGTTTCGTGCCATGTTCTAAAAGTCAGTGGTTCAAAGTTGTGCTTGGCTAAAGTGAGCTCATGAGCTGAGGGTCCCCTCTGAGGACTGCTAGCCCTGGCTTGTATCCGAGCCCCCCAGCCCAGCAGGATGCTGCCGTAGGGTTCATCAGTAAACAGATCCAAGGCTGCATTGACTGTTGTGGCTGAGACTGGGGTTTTGTTTCGATTTTTCTTGACTGCAGTGTTAGGTAATGTTACAGGGTATGGTTGGAGAGTACTGAGGAAGCAATAACCATTAAAACCTCAGACAGGCATCGTCTGTATTTCAGCTTCTTGGGTACTCTAAGAAGTTGCATAGGAAGTTAGGTAGCATGTTTGCTAAGGTGGCTATGTTCTATCTTTGTATTTTTGGAAGGCAAATGCTATTATGATAGTGTTATATGAGACTCTAGGAAGTATCCATGTTGACTGTATCTTAAAGGTTTTATGTAATTCTGAATTCTAATGGTGCTACTGAACTTCAAATGATTTGTCTTTCAGATTGGTACTTCAGGGTGATGGCAAGCTTTTGTGGGTTAAGATATGAAACCTAGAGGAGTCTGGGAAATATAAATGTTTATTTAGAAGTGTTGAGCCATCCCTTAGGTTCAGATTTTAGGATCATTTAGACCAGGCTTATGAAAGTGAGTAACTTAATTTACTTCCATTGACAGTGGAGTTGAGTAAGCACACCCATGTAAGTAAATCTTTGTAAATCAGGGCCTTCAGCTCTGTTCTGGGGAAACTTCCAGGAGCATTTTGTGGTTTTAATCAGCCATTGAAAGTTAGTATTCATATTGGAAGTTCTTGGTTCAGAGGGATTAATTTTCTTTGTTTGCACATGCCCAAAGCACCGGCTAATCTTGCAAAAGTGAGACAGTAATAGTGTTTTATTCATGGTGTGAATGACAGAGCATAAATACAGTCGGGTCTCAGGTATGCTTATGAGGACTGATGTCCCTGTAGCAAAAGAAGGTCGGAATGGATGATGTTTGTGTTCAGTCCTCATTCCAGTTGTTTGCCTGTACTTCAGACAAACTTTTTGA